GGAGCTACCTTGTGACAAGCTCAGGAAGAATGATGTAGGCTGCCGTTTACAAAGGTAAAAGGAAAATAAAACTTTTGCAGATTCTTACATTTCAATAATAATACTCCAAAAGTAACAGAAAAAAGATTTAACCCAAGCCACAAAGAATAAAAAGCACTAATTATAAGGGAAAAGTTAAAGATAACATTGAGTAAAAGAGGAACCAACCAAACAAAAAAAGGTCAAATATTTTAAACTGGGTTAAAGACCCAAAGACAGAATAAAGTTACAGAACTATATTAGTGAACCACAAATAGAACGAGTATGTGTTATGCTAAGGACAGATCAAAGTCCAAGCAAGAAAACTGCCCTGCTTGTCAGGAAATAGATTGTAACCAAGGGTCTCTTAAGACAAGGAATTTTCACTATCCCTCATTTGACAATGCAGGGGAGAGAGGAAAAAGGTGGTAACAATCTCTTTTGCAGTGCTTTATGGTGAGGACATTCTCGGTAATTAATTCTGACCTTTGGATGCCTTTATTGAAATAGAATCATGATTTTGTATGTAACAATAGGGTTCATGTATTAAATTCTGTTGAAGCCAGGTGATGTTGCTTTTTGTTAATTTTAAATCAACAAAGCATAGGTCAATATATCGGGAGGAGGGGAGGAGTAGATTTTGCTTTGGCTCAGACTTTATTTTACAGAAATGCCATAGAAACAAAATATTTTGGCCCAACAATAGTTAAAATATCTGCAGTTTAGTATATTAATTTTGCTGTATTAACATTTATTTAAAATATATAATGGATCAAGTCTACTAAATGAGAATGTTTAACTTTTTAATGTAACATGAAGCAAACAGTTCTTTTATCAACATAAAATGACATTCAGAATTACTGAAGAGAATGTTTAAACCTGTGAGCAAAATTTATAAGTATGTTTAATAAAACTGCTAAACTATTTTGTCACTCTGATAGGTGGCACAGAATATCTGGTAGTGCTTAACTTAAACATATTTGACAAAGATTTCATTTTTAGATTTAAAACTTTGTCTTAAAAAGGCCCAAATTCTACATTAAACAAAAATTGGGGGGCATAGCTGTAATCCTATGTACAGGTTCCTAGAACAAAGTCCTACTAAAAGAGTACTGAATTATGAGTGCAGCTTTAACAGCTTTTAATAAATGCACATAACTTACTTAAGTTACTTGCCAAATCAAAAACAATCTATTTAGTCCAGTTCCCAGCAGATGACTTTGTTCCTGTCTCAAAAATAACTTGGAGGTATCTTACTCTGCATTGTGTGCACTAATATGAACAAAGGAGCTTTTTGCTTGAGGATATTGGCATCTACAGTATTGCTTTAAAACAATCCTTTGTAGTTCACATCAGGAGTGAGATAAATTTATCTGATAACATCTGCTATATAAAGTTGGAACAAATTGGTGCTTACTGAAAGTATTTCCTCAGGTGTAAATATAAGGCATCAGATCTGTATGATATCAGATACATATTGAATAAGGCAGTTATGCTTCATATACCTGGCTGTAGAGTGGTGGAGGTGGATTCTGACCTAGAAAACAACTTTTTCCTTCAGGCTCTATGATACATTCAATCGTATGGCATATCAGTAAGTTTTATAAATGTTTATTATTTAAAATAGTATAGTTATCTTTCATCTTATTTAAAAGTGTGGTGTGCAGTCTGTAGGAACCTTCAGAGCAATGAACTGAACCAAGTAGCAAACCTAGAAAAAAAAAGTGGCCAAAAGAAATTCATAGAACAAGAACACCCAATGAACATAACATTATGCAAGTTGGACACCGTAAATCAAGTTGTAAACACACGTGCTTGCTTTATAAGAACATACCAAATTTTTCATTTTTCTGTATTCTATGTTTCTGTCAAAGTAATGATTTATACTATATTAAAGTTGCATAGATCCTTTGAAATATATTCTTTGCGAAGCATGGGAAAATGAATGACGCACTTCTCTTCAAACCCTTAAACAGCTGCATCTTTTTCTAGGTTATTTTAAAAGCTGCTATCAGTTGTCCCTGGGTGCATATACAACCTCTTGGTTTGCTTTCTTTTCAGCAAAATTATTGTTCTTCATGCAATGTAGCTCTAAAAACCTTTTGGATGAAAGAGAGATGGAAGTAGTTCCTTAATGTTAACCAAGGTAGAAATATTATCCATTTATCTACAGCAAATTCTGTCTGTCAGCTCTTCTCTTTTCACACACTGAATTTTTAGCTGCAAGTCAGCCAAGGCAAAAGCATCAGAGCAAAACTGATAACAGCCTTAAAGTAATAATCTATTTTAAAAAAGAATTCTCTTTAGATTCCAATTTTTTAAACAGAAGAATGAGTTAAACGGAAGGCATTTCGTAAACCAGGCATACATCCAGAACTCAAGCTAATATAAGCTGTCAGTCTATGAGTCCAGAATGACGCTATTGGGTCTGTTTTTCTGACTGTTCTCCTTATTGAGTCTTTGCCTAGCACTTTATGTCTTGTTTGTTCCCTTTCATCATAAATGGATTAACTAGATTTGGAAATGGAAAAAAAGTCTGGAATCAGTATGAAGTACACAGTTACTGTAAGTCTGTAAAGATTCTCAGTCATCCAGGTCATGGTTGTCATCCAGGGGCTTTTTCCCAAAGTCCAGTTGCCTCCAAAAAAAGCAGCTTTGGTACAAAGTTAGATGTTTGCACTGTGTATTAAATGTTTTTTTTCTTTATGTATCTTCAGATTTCAATGTAACTGAAAGCTAATTTGTTCAGTCCCTTCATAATTTGCTAAATACAAGAGTCTAAACACTACTATGCTTAATGCAGTTAAAATCTATATTGTTTTTGTCCTCCAAATATTTTAATATGAATGGCAAATAACACGTGTATTATGCATTTTAGTAGGAAATCTTGATAAACAAAACTACAAAGCAAGTAATTTAATGTAAATACGTTAGATGGTATTCTCAGATTGTGGCGTAAAACAGTTGCTAACCGTATGCCCCAAAGAAAGTAGGTGGTGTTTATCTTGCAACTGCTCAAAAGAATTATGTTTTAAGTGATAAAAGAATATTCCTTGAAAAACCAAAGTTTGAATGAGTCACTGTTTGTAACTGGAATTGTTTGTATATATGCACACACATATGCATACGCACATCTTTGCCTGGCAGGCCGGAATAGATTAAATCATTTATGATGTGCATGTGTTGGGTACTGTTAAACTGTATATATATAACTCTTTAGCAATGTTTGTTAGAACTCTTTAGCAATGTTTGTTAGAGTTCTCATGTGAATCATAACAAAAATGTGCTGACAAATCATATAAACTTCTGCCAACTGTTTCCTCAATCTTGATAGCATTTGGACTAGATAATACTGATCCATATAATTAGGTCAACTAAACCACCTTTTATGATAGCAGCTGACACAAAGTACCTTTGTAGCTTTATCTCAACCTTTCAAGGTAGGCTAGACTAGGAAATCAAAGTTATGAATGCTAATACTACTTTTATCATAAAGTTACAGTAACAGAACTTTTGAGGTCTGAATCACTTCTCCCCTCCCTTCCTTTATCTTTGTGAAAACTAGGGAGGGTCATCTCTGAAACACTTTTTCAAATTATATTCCTGTTCCAGACTTGGATTTCTCTTATCTGACCTTTGTCTTGGTTGTGGCTCTTCCTCTTGTTATTCTTTCTGCCTATTATACTTTAGCACAGTTTTGACCTTATATGCTAAATCTAGCTGGGAAGAGCAAAATTTTACCTATGCAGAAATAGTTACCTGCAACGAATGTGTTGGGTTTCATAGAGGAAAGTAAGCATAGGTTGTTATATTAGTACTTGGGGTTTTATTTTCCGTTTCTTCTGCCAATGATCATAAGAACTGTTTTAACAATTGATCAGCACATCGTGTGTGTGTGTGAGAGAGAGAGAGAATGAATGTATGCTGAGAATGAGTGTATCTCATGAGTGTATGAGTATATGTATGTTGTTTATATTTGTATATAAACAAATATGTCAAATATATACTAAAGAACTGATTGGTTCTCAAAAGAACAATGAATTTTTCATGTTGATTTTTTAAGTGTTTGAATGTTTTTGTTTGCTTCAAAGATTGTTTTAATGCAAGTTTCGAGAACTATATAATTTAGTCCAAACTATATTCATGTCAGAATATTGGTTTTGACCTAACTACTTGCTATGAAGGGAAAGCAGCTGAGTAAAGGGCTTAGCTTAAGTCATTTTCCACCTATATTTATCAATCTTCTGTGCTCAAAAGTGCTGTTTACTATATACAGCAGGCCTGTCAAACTGCCGACCCATGGGCCAGGTGCGTCATGCACAGCCCACGCCCACTCTGGCTCCACAAAGGCAAAAACAATGTCATGATATGTCACATGGCACAATTTAGTTTGACACCTGTGAAATATACAGCAAAGCAATTTTGGAGCAAAAAGCTTTAGAAAGGGGAGATTACAGGAAGAAATTAGTACCTGGATTAAGGATATATACAACTATTTTAATGAAGGAGAACAACTAAGAACATGTAATTGGGCCATTGGTGGAAAGTCAACCATAAAGGATCCATCTCTGAATTAAATGGTAGGTTTTTGAGGAAGTATATTTTGTATGGAGTTATAGTTTTGTTAGACTTATATCTCAAGAAATTCAAGACAGCAGGCATAACATTTTTTTTCCAAAGTTTTCACACACTCACATTTCTGTGAAGTACATTGTGCTGAATGTGACTTTGGCCCAGAGTCATTTTGGAAACTTCCATAGCCAAGGGTGGCTTTGAATCAGGTTGCTCAGTCTAATATTTCGAATCCTACATATAATATGAATTAATTTTGCCCTTGACTTTTCCCAACTTAAGTGATTAGGGTGAGCTCTCTCAAGGTTTTAGATGTGTTTTTCATTATTTGCTGGCTGTGTGGGACAGTGTAAAATTTAATTTTCCTATAGGCGTAAATATAATTAATTTTCTCTTATTTCTGTTTCCAGTGTTTGATTATTGGAGGTGGTCCCTGTGGCTTGCGAACTGCTATAGAACTTGCTTTTCTTGGAGCCAAAGTCGTTGTAGTAGAAAAGCGAGACACATTTTCAAGAAACAATGTACTGCACCTCTGGCCATTTACAATTCATGATCTTCGAAGTCTGGGAGCTAAAAAGTTTTATGGGAAGTTTTGTGCCGGATCAATTGATCACATTAGTAAGTCATAATTACATCATTGTTTCTTTCTGAAAAGGAAAATGGAGGCACATTATACCCATGGTGAATATTTTTTGTTTAGAAATATTAACTGCAACTTAATACCAAGAGGTGGATATAGTGTGTTGAATAAAAATCTGAAGGAACACTTTGGCATACAAGTGTTTATCTAACTTGTATGCCAAAATGTTCCTTCAGATTTTTATCAATATCAGTTGGCAGAAATTTTCTGTACATTTAGTATTTATGTACAATTTTTCAGTAGGACTTGATGTATATGTTAGAGTTCAACTACAGCCTCTATTTACAATCTGGATTATTCATCATAAAACACAGGCATGGGATTCCAATTAATGGGGTAGATCCTTTCTTAACATTAAAAGAAAACCATAAAAAAACTTCCTAGATATCTTCCAGAATGAAAATACATGGTAAATAATGCATGATCAAAAACCTCACACAGTAACATTTCTCTTTCATAGGCATTAGACAACTTCAGCTTATTCTCTTCAAGGTTGCACTGCTGCTAGGAGTTGAAATCTATGTGAACTTAGAATTTGTGAAAGTTTTGGAACCTCCTGAAGATCAAGAAAATCAAAGTAAGTTGTGTTTCTTTGAAAGGAAGAATTTCACAGCAAAAAATATTTTTTACTGTTAGAAAACAGAATGCCATTTTTGACGCAACTGATTACATCTATAGAGGTGTGCAAAGCATTCTTTATGGCTAGTCTGTGTCCAGAGCATAATATGTATTTTTGATTTGTATCTGTAATGAAACTGTAACTTGATCTAGGCACAGATGGAAACTGGTGCTTTGGGCAGAAATGTTTGTAGAGAAAGCCAAAGTTATTGGTGATACATGATTGCTATGTGAAGTAGGAGAAGAGAGCAGTCCTTAGTACCCTTCTTCAAACAACGAAATTCTTCTGGATTTCAGTTGTTCAACTACTGTCCACCCACAGTTCAGCAAAACTTCTGAAACAGTATTTGTTTGTTTTGATTTTAAACAAAATTAATTTTCTATTTTATGTTCATCTCAATATGTGACCTGAATAAATTCATGTTTTATGTATTTTATTACTTAGATTAATGTTAAGTTTTAGAGCAGATGTTGTACCAAATTCCTTCTCTCAGACTGAAGGATTGACTCTGAAAATCTTTTCCACAGAAGTTAAGGATGAATTAATTAATTAGCAACTAATTAAATTGGGATTCAGCATAAAAATGGAATCTTCTTGCTTATAAATGTTTGTTACATCATGATACACTTTTGAGTAGAATAAGTTGTAGACACTGTCTAGGTTCATGATCATATTTGTGTAAATTTTCTTCATGTATTGCTTGATTATTGCTTTGTTTAAAACAGAAGTGGTATGGATGGATATAATCGTCTATATTTAATCATTTATGGTGTCCATCCCATTTTTTAGATTGTTTTAACTGTAAGAGAATTTGCAATAAATGTATACATTTTTTTCACTCAATATAAATATAGTATGAATTTCTTCTAGAAAACATATAATTTATCTGTATTTTCTATAATACATATTTTTAATAAATTGAAACTTTAAAAAATCAACTAGAAGATAGTAGGGAAGTTTTTCCAAACATTTCTTAACATGATTTGCATTATACATGTTATTGACATACATTTACTGACTAACCTCTTGATTTCAGAAATAGGTTGGAGAGCTGAATTTCTCCCAATGGATCATCCCTTATCAGAATTTGAATTTGATGTCATAATTGGAGCTGACGGCCGAAGAAATAGTTTGGAAGGTAGAATCAAAATTCAATTGAACAAATATCTAAAATGGAAATAAAGAGCCTGCTCATTTCTTTCTTTATGAAAAACAATAAAGTAGATCAAACTTTTAAAAATTATTACACTTTTATCTTTTAAAAATATGGGTGGCTATTAGTAAAGGAAAGAGACATGCACTTTTGAACTGCAAACTCTAATGCACAACTTTTCATTGTTCCAACAAGGGCATGCTGTGTTATTTGGATCACAATTCTGCTGGTGTACAAAATAAATATGCACAATACTTACTATGTATTTAATGAAGGAAGCTATAGGAAGCAATTTTACTTAAAAAAATAATTGTGAATTTGGTATAGAATAACCGAATGGAAGGAGAAAGATCCTGTTGTACTAGCTGTTAAATATTTTAAAAGGAATTTAATAATAATAAGTATCACAACTCTTAAGTCGGCTTTTGTCAATGAGATGTTAGTTAAATAGCCCATGCTGTGTTATATGACTTAACATCTTTATGCCTATTGGGTTTTAATCAGATGCACACTTAATTCTTTGGAACTACTGGACTGTTAAAACTTTTGAACTTAATATCAGAGAGTTATGCCTACCCAATTCTAGGAGAAAAAAAAATTGGTACACCTAATGGATTTGATGAATTCTGAGGTTGGGAGGTACCAGAGGAATGTGGTAGAATAGTCACAACAGGTAACACCAAGAATTTTTTAGCAAAACAAGTAAACTCTTTAGGAGATTTATGAATAAATGTTTGCACTGAATATGAAATATGTAGAACTGACCAGTGGAAAAATGAAGAGAGTCAGTTTGAAGAATCTGATGCAGGAAATTATATAGTTAGAGGAGGTGTGATTCAATTAAAAGAGGATATAATAGAGAAATGCTAGGAGAGGGGAACAAATATTTGAGAGATTCCTTGCTCCAAATTAATTTACAATCTTTGTGGTGATCTCCACCTGAGTTCTTGGGTAAATGCCAAAATTTCTCATGGAAAAAAGGTATTAATCAACTGATATGCATTGCTCTTGTTGTTTTTCCTTGTAAGGTTTTAAAAGAAAGGAATTTCGTGGAAAGCTAGCTATCGCCATTACTGCCAACTTTATAAACAAAAATACCACTGCAGAAGCCAAAGTGGAGGAGATTAGTGGTGTTGCTTTCATTTTTAATCAAAAATTCTTCCAAGATTTGAAAGAAGAAACAGGTCGGTATTCTTTTAAACATGGCATAATACAGCAAGCTGGCAACCAAACTGAATAACAGAAGTATAAAATTGGTGATGGCACTTTAATTCATTTTCTTTAAAATTTTGTTCAGTGATTTATACAAAATACATATTAATAGACAGCTTCACTCATCATGCCAAATCAAAAGCAATCAAGCCACATTTTATTTGTGCAGTAATGTGCAATTTTTTTCTAGGTTGTGGATCACCTTTTTCCTGTAGATGTAGGAATATAAAGGATTAAGAACAAAGTGATTTAAGTTCATTTATCGTTTTAATTAAATTTAAATTGGAATTGAGTATGAATGCTGTCTAGTTAGAAATTTAATATCTTTTACAATAAAAATTATGATTTGGGAATAATTTCTGTAGGTTCATGTCAGTTGCTTGCAAGTTTTCAAGGGTGCTTGTGTATCAGGGCCATGGATTATGAGCTTCTGGTCATAGCATTAAGTATAAACTAAGTCATAGTTATTTCAAAGGTGCTTCTTGTTGCAATAAAAATAGCAAAATGTTTTATGGCTTTGTACAATAGAATCTTCTCAGCCTTTACTTTTTCATATTATTTTCTGGACCAAAAAATTTCCAACACTTTACATGCATACGAAGAGAAATTGAATTCCCTCAAACTTGGTGTTTGTTGACAAATTTAATGTGACATAATTTTTAACTAGGATACGATTTCAGACTATGAACATGCATGATTTAATGTGTTCATCTTTAAATTATAAAATCCTGTTGTTTTTAATGTCAACATCATGTTAGAATTTAATTAAATGCATTATTGAGAATGTTGCAGTAAGAATGAATTTGAATTCAGAATTTAGGAGATTAAAAATGTTTTTTTCCAAATTCATTGAATGTTAAAGTAGAAAAAAATGAGCAATATACACTGTTTTTATTATACAAGTTTTCATCCAAAACATGTTTTGCTCTTCTGTAGGAATTGACCTAGAAAATATTGTTTACTATAAAGATAGCACACACTATTTTGTGATGACTGCAAAGAAACAGAGCCTTCTGGAAAAGGGTGTCATTATTAACGTAGGTATCCAATGTATATTTTTTTCTCGCATAATGTTACACATTCTGATCTCTGAGCCTGAACAGAATCTTAAAAACTCAGATTCTCTTTTTTTTGATCACTACTATCCAGATTATTTGGGACAGATCATTTCCAGAATTCCCAGCCAAATGGCCATTCCCAAAGTACTGAGTGGAAATTCTAAGTGTTGCAGTCACAACACATCTGAAGAACTACAATTTGACAAAAGCTGGAGTGCATTTTCAAATTGAAATATTAACAGGAAATTGTGTTGAAATTGAGTGTTCAAGGAAGATGGAGAGGGAACATACAGGCATAAGACTCATCATAGCATTAATAAACTAGGGCACGTTCTGGGTTCAAATTGTTATATCTCAACTGAGTTATTTATAAATTCATAGAATTTTTATTTGTGCTACATTAAAAATAATTGGGCATTATGGGAGTTGAACCTCAAAATGTTCTGGAAAGTAATTGGCAGGAAAAATCAAATGCATCGGTAGAGAATAGTCAATAGCTACTTCAGTATGAGTCAGCAGTGTGCTGCAACTGCCAAAAAAGCCAATGTAGTCCTATGCTGCATCAACAGAGAGAGATCAAGATCACGAGAAATGTTAGTATTTAGTATTTATTTGATTTGTCAATCATTTACAAGATACAAGTATAAGAATAAATATAGTTTTGAATACATGAGGTAGATACTTATAAGAAAAAACAAAACAATAGGACAGGGACAATAGGCATGATTGGTGCGCTTATGCATGTCCTCTACAGGCCTCTTAGGAAGGGGGTGAGGTCAATAGTAGACAGTCTAAGGTTAAAGTTTTTGGGGTTTGGGGAAGAAACCACAGAGTCAGGTAGAGTATTCCAGACATTGACCACTCTGTTGCTGAAATTGTATTTCCTGCAATCAAGTTTGGTGTGGTTTACCTTGAGTTTGTATCTATTATTTGCTCTTGTGTTGTTATGATTGAAGCTGAAGTATTCATTGACAGGTAGGACATTGCAATGTATGATTTTATATACTATACTAAGATCAGACCAAAGGTGGCGTAGTTTTAGGTTTTCCAGGTCTAGAATTTCGAGTCTGGTGGCATAAGGTATTCTGCAACGAGTAGAGGAGCGGAGAACTCTTGTGAAATATTTCTGGACTTTCTCAACTGTGTTCATATCAGATATGTAATGAGGGTTTCAGACTGATGAGCTGTATTCAAGTATAAATCTAGCAAATGTTTTGTATACTCTAGTTAGTAGTGTGATATTACCAGAGAAGAAGCTATGTAGGATTCGATTAACAACACTTAATGCCTTTTTGGCTATGTAGTTACCGTGGGCTCTAGCACTTAGATCATTTGCGATGATACAGATACAGATAATCAGAGTTGAAAGGGACCTTGTAGGTCATCTAGTCCAACCCCCCGCCCAAACGGGAGACCCTACACCATTTCTGACAAATGGCAGTCCAATCTCTTCTTGAAAGTCTCAACTGATGGCGCTCTCGCAACTTCCGAGGGCAAGCTGTTCCATTGGTTGATTGTTCTCACTATCAGAAAGTTTCTCCTTGTTTCCAGGTTAAATCTCTCCTTGTTCAGTACTCCAAGGTCCTTGACAAAGTTTGGATCCTCAACAAGGTCTTGACTATTTAGCTTGTATTTTATTTTCTGATTTTTTCTGCCAGAGCATTTATTTGTTGAGATTTGAAGTTGCCATTTGATTGACCATTCTGATACATAGTAAAGGTCTTTTTGGAGGGTAGTAGTGTCTGTGGTGTTGAATAGCTTTACATCATCAGCGAAGAAAACGCAGTTGCTCTTAATATAAATGACAGAGGTCATTTATGTAGAATATGAAGAGAGTTGGCCCTAAAACACTGCCTTGGGGGACACCACTGTTGATAGGTACAGAATTTGATAGGATGCTCCCAATTTTGACCATTTGTTGTCTGGCAGGAATGCTTTTATCCAGTTATGTAGGTGTCCAGAGATACCATAAGATTTTAGTTTTAGTAGTAGTTTGTTGTGTACCACTGAATCAAAGGCTTTACAGAAGTCTATGTAGATTGCGTCTATTGCTTTGCCCTGATCGAGTTGTGTAGTCCCTATGTTTTTGCAGTGTAAGAGTTGCAGATTACAGGATAGTAAACTAGTAAAGCCACACTTGGAATATTACGTCCAGTTCTGGTTGCCACAATACAAAAAAGATGCCAAGACCTTAGAAAGAATACAGAGAAGAGCAATAAAGATGATAAGGTAACTGGAGCCTATCTGGAGCCTAACCATATGATGAATGGTTAAGGGAACTATGTATGTCTAGCCCACTGAAGAGAAGGTTTAGGGGCTGGTAGCTGTCGATATCTAATTAACTAGATGATAGCTGTCTTCCAATACTTATGGGGCTGTAACAGAGAAGAGGGGTTCAACCTATTCTCTGAGCGCAGGACAAGCAGTAACAGGTGAAAGATCATTAAAGAGAGGTGTATGGTTCCTTCTGACCCTTTTATTCTATGTTCCACATGCTGTCTGAATTCATACTTTTTAAAAAGAAATTTCATTTTTTTAAATCATTTTTTTAGTTAGGTACCGATATATTTGATTTAGATGCATTCAGTGGTGAACGTGTGCAAGGGCAAAACTCCATTTGTATGAGCTGCAAATGGAGCTGCATATGCGTGCATGTGCTCACCCAGAACCATCCACTCTTCCCCGCTGCTGCCAGTCCGCAAAGGTGGAAAGGTTGGAGACCACTGGTCTAGAGCAAATTAAATTACTAGCATATAATTTGCATATAACTTCACCGTGTAGTGTTATATGTAATTATTTGTTTTATCTAGCATCCATTGGACTGTCCAAGAATTCTAACAATAGACCTCTGTGGTTTCATTTAGGATTTTATTGATACTGAAATACTACTATGTGTGGAAAATGTAGACCAAGACAATCTATTGTCCTATGCAAGAGAAGCTGCCGACTTTGCGACGGATTATCAATTGCCTGCCTTAGATTTTGCAATTAATCACTATGGGCAACCAGATGTGGCCATGTTTGATTTTACTTCTATGTATGCCTCTGAAAATGCTGCATTAATACGTGAGAGGCATCGACATCAACTGTTGGTTGCTCTTGTTGGAGACAGTTTAGTAGAGGTAGGATGAATTACGCATTTGTTCAAGATAGCTTTCAAAAGTGATTTGCTTTGTAATAACAGTTTTATGAACCAACATCTAATAAATATTGAAATTATGAATTATGAATTATTTTCTAACTTAAATGGTAGGAACTTCTGAAGCATTGACAATCTATACCAAGAGGTTTTATATTTGTTGTTGTCCAATACTCCAGCTCTTACCTATTGTGTTTGTTTTTCCTCCACTTTCGCTCTTTTGTGTAAACCACTTACCTACCTGTATCCTCTGCTTTCTTCTCATAATATTGTGGCTGGATGGTATCTAGATTACAATAAGGAAATTGAATTTTTTTAAAATTTAAATTATAGTAGATGTTACCTAAACAAAAATATGTTTCACAGCCTTTCTGGCCAATGGGTACTGGTTGCGCAAGAGGCTTCTTAGCTGCATTTGACACAGCATGGATGGTGAAAAGTTGGGCACAAGGAAAGTCCCCTCTTGATATCCTAGCAGAAAGGTAAGTGTATATGTGTTTGTCTTTATATACCAGAGAAGTGAATAAATTCCATTTTTCACAGAGCCTAAATTGATCCCAGTTTGATCCAAAGTGGGGGTGAAGAATCCGTGGCCATCTAGATATCAAACATTCCTTACTATTGACCTTGGGCACTTGGTTGCTACAGTGTATTTCAGTAGTTCTAGGTGACCTAGTTCTACCATATTTGATAATTGTTCTATTATCTTATTCTTGTTTTATTTTGCTATCAATTTGTTTCTCATTTGCTCTACTGCAATCTTTGCCCAATTACAAGGAGGAGAGGACAGTAGTTGAGAAAGGGTTTTTGGGTGGATGTTATATATGGTAATGATGAAGTCAAGTGTCTGGATTTGGAAAAAGGTCATATAAGGGCTGAGAAAGCATGTTTGTGGAAAGCAAAAGACAGCACAGGCTGTAAATGGAAACCTGACTGACTAATAATGGCTGTGAAAACTATACCTACTGCTGTTTTGTGGCTAAAGGAGGAGTTGTTTCTTGTGCAAAAGGAAAATTAAAGCCAGATGATTTAGGATGATGTAATCTTACTTCACTGTAGCTATTTCTGCCTTAGGAAGACCTGTATTTTTCTGCCTGAGTTGTTGTCATCTTAAGCATTTTTCATAGTTTGGCAAATCTAAATTTGTTGTCAATACAGATAGGTACGCATCAGATAAGGATGAAAACTGCCCGCCTCTTAAAATCAAACAGGCATATTTCTCTTGCTGTCTTTCAGGGAAAGTATTTATAGACTCTTACCTCAGACAACACCTGAAAATATCACTAAGAATTTTGACCAATACACTATTGACCCTGCCACACGATATCCGAATTTGAACTCAAGTTGTGTTCGACCTCATCAGGTAAGCCAAGATATAAACAATAAAACTCTCTACATTCAAAGTGATGCAAGGAAGGTTGGGTTGGGGTTTTATAACATTTCTGTTCAACTTTGACTGTTATAAACATAGTGGTTGCATAGTTGACCTATAAAATATGAAAACAAACTCAGATGATCGTCAAGAAAATGCAGACCTGCCTGCATTGCATGCATGTCTTGATAGATTTATTTCCCCTAGATGTTTATCTGTAAGTTATCACAATGGTGTTTTGTTGAGTTTTAAAGTTTGTTAAATGTTTGGGATCTTGGAATAGGGTAGCAAATAACATATAAACTGGGGTTAGATGTTGCATATCTATTGTCAGTTTAGATAATTGAATGATGAATCAGATTTGCACAGTGAAGATTCTGAACTCAACTGATGATTATCTTCCCTTAGGTGAAACATTTATATATTACGAATGAGCTGCAGCCGTGCCTACTAGAAAGAGCAAACACCATTAGAAGATCAATTGGCCTTTCAAAACATGGTATGAGAAGTTTCATTAGTGTTCTTTTTTACTCCATAACCTGGGAGAGTTTGAAAGTTGTAAAGATTGTACCTTTTTTTTAAAAAAGAAAATTATTCTTTCAGAATATGACATAAAGCCCAACAAACTTTTAACCTGGTGTCAGAAACAGACCGAAGGATACAAGAACGTGAACATCACAGATCTCACCAGTTCATGGAAAAGTGGCCTTGCCTTATGTGCAGTTATACATCGCTTCAAACCTGACCTCGTGTAAGTTTTTATACATGTATATAAATAATGCTTGCTAATTGCCAAATTCCTTTTAAAATAGAGACTTGAATAAGGCCAATCAAAACAGGAAAGATTGTTTCTCTTTTTAACATCTATTTTGCAATTCTCTGCGTCTTTTTGTTCAGATTCCGCCCCTCACTGTCTTTGGCTCCATAATAAAAAATACAAAGTTTACAGATTCAAAGAACTCCTCAAGTTTCATCCATACTGTTTTTTGCTTGTGTTATAGAAGCTGGTATCTTTTATGCTTGCATTTCTTCCTGAATTCATAGCATTTGTTATTTTACAGTGTTTTCTTTTAAACACTCTGTGCTGAGTAATATTCATATGCAAATGTGGGGAGAGATTATTCAGAATTGAGGAGTGCCATCTGTATTGTTATAATGTCTGGGGAAAAATATACAAAAACAGCCCATGACAAAAGTGCAATAATAGCAAAGAAAACAAACCCTGAAGGCAACCCAAAGGAAGAAAAGGGCATCAATTGTCTTTACCAAACCTAGGCAAAGAACCAGGTCCTTAGAGCTCTTTGAAATGCCAGGTGTGTGTGTGTATCTTAATGAATCTATGGAAGGATATGTCAACTGTTTGGAGAATCAGTTGTATGTTTTATTCCTATCCCAGTTCCCCATGAATTCTGGAGATGATGGTGATTAGATTTTTATCCTGTCTTTTACATATGTTGGTCAACTCAAGGCAGTTAACACACCTGATGCTCCTACCTCCTATTTTCTCCACAAAAATAGCTCTATTAAGTGGGTTGGGCTGAATGTCTGGATCAAAGTCATTCAGCCAGTTTTTCATGCCTAAGAGATCTAGAACTCACAGTCTCCTGGTTTCTAGGTCAGCACTTTAACCACTATACCAAATTGGCTCATACTGGAACTAGCAATTACTTCATACTTATTTAGTAAATATCATACTCTAGAATAAAAATATTTTTATGCCAGTAGATGCTAACTTTCTTCCTAATACCTAAAGCCTTCCATATCTATGTATATCATTTCCCATAATTTATAGTTACAGCCTCTAGGAAGTACTCAAAATATGTTCAGAACATCTGTAAGATACAAGATCAGAGACAATTGATTTTGAACATTTGCGTATTCTGGTTTGGTATATATTATTCTATTGTAGCATATATTTATTCAGGGTTTCTTTCATTGGTTGGCTGGCTGGCTGTTGGTTGTTCTAAGGGATAATTATAGACTATTGTTTTGTATATAACCTGGACTGAAATGATATAAGGAGATGGTGGTATTCCACTCTGGCAGAAACATAATGTGGAAGAGATTAAGTAGGTATGAATACTCACTAAATTAAATTTTTATCAAGAATACTAACGCACATTTTCCCCCCACAATGTTTTAGAAAAACTTTGAAAACAAAAAGATTTAGTACAGGGAAAAACATTTTCTAAAGTACTGTAAGAGATAAGTCCAGTTGCCATGATTCAGACTCCTTTTAAGAGATGTTTCTGTACTTATATGACTTTTCTTCCTAATTCTTAAGTGACTTTGATTCCCTGAATGAAGAAGACGCAGTTGAAAACAACCAGCTAGCATTTGATATTGCTGAACGTGAATTTGGAATTCCTCCTGTCACAACTGGGAAAGAAATGGTGTCTGCCGGAGAGCCTGATAAACTCAGTATGGTCATGTATCTCTCAAAATTCTATGAGCTGTTTAGGGGGACACCTCTGAGAGCAGTTGGTAAGTTAGCTTCGTTGCTTTTACTCTCAGCAAAAATCAAGCTTTTCTTACTTCACATTCAGGTTTGGCCTTAAACCTGAGCCCAAGATTTCTTACAATTCTAACTGCTTTGGAATATCTAATTATTTTTAGCTATGTCAACCAGGTTTTATAACAAAATGGGGGGGGGGAAAGGACAGTTTTATTCTTTTTGGAAAACCAGAAGACACTGTTTCCATTACTTATTTTGGTTAATTGATCCCATAAGCTTCATGGAAGTTGCTGATTCTGTACTTGGTTTTCATATTTGTCTCAGTTTTATTACATTTTTCAATTTAAAACCTTGTCTGCTAGAAATATTGTTTTCCAAGTGCTGTGATATGGCTCAGTAATACTCAGAAATCTACATTATCCAGTATATTTTTGCACCTTTTACACAGTCATAGGCAAACTGGCAATGTCGAAAAGAGGGGGCCGACCAGGACAATTCTTGACTCTATTTTGCATTAAAATTTGTACAGTAGAAGAGCTTTTAGGCATGCACAAATATCTTTTATTTAAAGTAATCATTGCAATCTGTTAATCGTAACTGGTTTACTCAACTGGTTTACTCAGCATCTTGCTGAGACTCAGCTCTGCTCAATGTGTTATATTTTTTGTGTCAGCATTGTTTGAGTAGTTGAAGGCTTTAAATCCACCTCCCAACTTTCCGGATGGTCACAGAAAGACATCTAATAATACTGTGACTTGATTAGAAGGGACAACTCCAAATTTATATCCCTTTCATGTGGTGAAAAGGACAGAAATAGAAGTGGTAGGCCTCTGACAGGCAAATCACTTCCATCCCCACCCATAAAACTTCCTAAAATCAGCAGTGGCCTGATATCCCATTTCTCAGGGTCATCTTGGATCTTCCTTCCAGATTTGTTAGAGGAACAGTTATAGAAGTTATTATAAAAATGTTCAACTTGTTACAACTTCAAGTTTTTGGGGTTGTTATGGTAGGGACTAAAAATGGAAGCAGGAACAGGAGACAAACCACTTTTACTTTGAATTTTTAATTTTTTTAAGGGCTGCTGAAATTCAGCAGTTATGTTATTGATTTTGGCAGTGAAGTTTAGGGTGTTTGAGTGAGACCTGAATGTGACTTGAGATATATCTCTCTCTATTCTAAGTTGAGAAGATATGACTGTGCTATTTAGTTTGAAGAATAATGTTGCTTTTTCAGTGTTTCAAATTTTGTTTTGTAATGAAAGACTTTCTGAAGTTAATGAATTATAAATGTAGTTTTATAGGAAAACTACTTGAAAGTATAAATGACTTGCTTTACATGATTTCCAAATTAATACATGATGCCTAAATTTACTTTATTTTTTTATGTTTGAACAGGTACCATGGTAAAGCAAAATGGAGAAAGAATTGATCCTTGTTCAACAAAATCTTCCAAATTTGGCTGTAATAATTACATAAACTTGACATTTCCAAGGAAGAGAATACCAAAAGTAAAATTATATGTCTTTTTTCTTCCTCCCTATCCTTCACATAAAGGGATAAATGCATGCGTAGTACAAATTAATCAGCAAGCTTATAAACTTACAAATACTGTGTAACTCATGACAGTTAAAAATAGGATAGTACTGAATTATGCTAGCTACATGTTATTTAGATTCACATTGTGAACAAAGTATAGCTTTCTCTATCATGCAAAGTTTGTAAATTTCCTTGGACTATTTAGTTGCCATTTGAGGTCCGTATGAAATTGGCCTTTGATCTCCTAAGGCTAAATTATCCCTAAGACTACCGAAAAATGTTCTCCAGTAAATCTGGTCTCCCATTTACAGATGTTAAATTGACCTAATATTAAAGGAAACTACAGTTTTTAAAAGAGAATATACTTATCTGTGACCAATATTCTCTGTTGATTTCTGAAGGAGATCACTGTGTTTCCCCCCCTCCCCCATTGAAGCGTCATTGGAACAGCTATGGTATGACTGCACAGCAGCAGGAAAATAAAGGAGAGTGTGTGAGTTTGCAGGTGTCACCAATAATGAAAGAAAGAGTGTTACTTCCTACTAATAATTTTATATTTAGCACAAGAAATACTTGGCTCCAGAACTGGAAGAAAGTTCAGTTTTATACAGACATACAACTCCAGAACATTAACTTATATTAAAAATTAAATTTAAAAAATGAATTAAATTTAAATTAAATTTAGAAAATTAAATTCCATCCTAGGTATGAAAATTAAATGTTTGATCTTTGAGATAAAGCCTCCTACCATAGCTGTTAGGTATCAGAAAAAGAAACAGCTTTGCATAATAGTTCTTGTGCTCAAATATAAGCTTAAACTTCCCAGTATTTTAATAATGAAATTGCTGTAGCTTCGTTCATTCATCTATCAACTTCCATCATATAGTATTGTTTGATGGAGTGTGTTTTAGTTAAAATTGTCATCTGATTATACTTAGATACTCTTGTGATAAGTAGAACTTACACCACCACAAATTAGCTGCATTGATTTGAATAGTCAGCTAACAATGATTCACTCCATTATGTGAGAAGTTTTCACACATGCAATATAACTCCCCCCTTTTTCTCCCCCCTACATTTCATCCCTACATCTACTTACGTATCCCTAGAATGCCTCCAGAGACATTAGCATGCATGTATCATTTTACAGAGATTGCTTGATCAAGTAAGAGAGTAGTGTATACAAAAATATTTGGTCAACAGCTTCAATAAATAGCAACTAAAAACAGTGAGTGCATTTTATGCTTTTAAAGCTGTATCAACTCTGCCTTCTTAAGGCCGGTGAATAAGGTTTAAGAGAGTCTATCAAAAACAAAATGTAAGATTCTGCTTATGCCAACCATTCTATAAATAATATCATCAAATCATGTGAATATTAAGCTATCTACCAGTAGTCATATGTCCTTTTTAGGAAACAGCCTTTCTTTATTCAGTCTTGCAAACAGAACTGGTGTGTTTATTCAATTGAAACCCAACTATCCAATTTGGCATAAATAGGAGAAAAATGCTCATCCTTTCAAAACAAGTTTACAGTCGATTCCTCTGCTAAAATATCGATATGGTTCATTTCACGATGTGGCTTACTGTAACTTTTCCAGTCTTGCACATCAACATGAATAAGACATCTTCATTTTTCCCCGTGTTTGTTGTTCTATGCCAGCTTTCCCGCCCTCAGCTACACAAACAAAATTTATTGTTATTAAATGCCCAACTGAACAGTGAAATATGAATTTTTTTAAAAAAAACATGCTCAGAAACTTAGTTTTAAAAGATCAATGGATTAAATCTACAAATCTGTAACAAGAACTGTACTTGTAGCATTGTCCCATAGATGGTTCTTTGCTTAATTCTCTGCTTCACGGGGAATGGAGATCACACAAATAGTTTGGCAGGGGGAGAACAAAAACAATTTCTGGTTTCTATTAGTAGTAGGAATTTCTGTTATAGCCTCTTCCAAGAGCAGAAGGGTAATTCTGGTTCACGTCACCATTAGTAATGGTTTTTAATCTAGACAGGCAATAGTCTGATTCAAAATAAAAACTTTGAAAACTTTTAAGACCATTTTTAGAACTATGCATCTGTCAGTGTTTTGGAAAGGAGAGCTAAGAGAGGTTTTGTCCATCATTTAGAAGATTACACATAGCTATAAAATAGCTCCAAAAGAAATATACTTACGTGAAATCATGTGGCTTGCAAGCTCAGCCAGAGAGTGTTGAATGTTATCAGTAATGCCACTCACACTTGCATGAAATATTGTTGAACTAACATAATGTTGAAATATTCACAGGATACTTTCTACCTCTTCTTAGAGGTAGAAGAGGTAGACAGGCGTTATTGGTGATATGAATTTATTTATATAGCTTTCTATATAAATTAATTCATATCACCAATAACGCCTGTCTTCCTTACATAAAGAACAACTGGTGATTTATCCAGGACCTGAATTAGGCAGCAGTATACACAATCTCCTGAGTGGTGGCATAAAAGAAAAAGTGTAATTCTGGAATCTTTAGGCCTGAAATAATGCACGAAGACCTTGAATCAAGGGAACCAGATTATCTCGTGGAAGGTTTCTGAGCTACTGTGACATTGGAATTGTGTGATTCCTGAGTTATTGTGAGATAAATACAATAAATCATTTAATATGTTTAATGTACAATCCAAATGCATTGACATGTGTGTGCTACTTTTGTATCAAAAACAGAATATAGATAAGGATAACAAGAAACTTCATTTTTTACTTAACACCTTGAAATCTATTCATTCAGGTAGTTGTTCTCTTCTCATTTGCTGTTTGGTGTTTTAGCTGTTAATGAGAAAAGTGCTCGTGCTGATATAATAAAAGAAGAATGGCAGAAGACAAAGTGGCTTTTATTTGCATCAGTCGTGTAGTTTTCACATAATAATCAGATTATACAAATTCCACAGCTTATGAATAGAATGGAGGAGACTGAAAAAAGCATACTCTAGTTTGGACTTTAGATAACAAAATGTGCTGAGAATAGGTTGGTAGAAAGAAACATTAACATCAACTTTATAACATATTAAAAGTGCCATAAATTTAGTCCTCCAGTCAATTCTTTGAATTGTACCTGATGTATGATTTTTGCCCTTTCTTCTTTTATAACTAATTTGATTTTTTAATGCACAACATGTTCATTTGCCCTTTTATTAAATAGATAATTTTTTTGATTCATTTACAGTTGTGAATGTTTTCTTAACTTGATTTCATTGCTTTCAGGTGGAAGAAAATGAAACCAATAAAAGGCGACGCAAAAGTCTCATCAGTTTTGAAGAGGTTGGTAATAAATTTAATTATTAAATGTGCTATTATTGTATAACAAAATTTGTTTTCCACTATACAAAGTAGATATTAAGAAATTCACTTTCAGCTTTTTAGCTGATTAAAATTGATCATAGCAAGTCAGGGGATGGGTAGCATTATTTTATCTATTTATTAAAAGGTTTAAACTGTCCCATAGTTGAAGATATTAATAACTCCCATTTTGTTATCAGTTCAATGTCTGCAAAAAAAAAGTAATATTGTTTTGGAACTTGCTTTGAACAAGCAGGACTTTACTTTAGTCTCTTTCAAGTAATACTAGATTCTTCAAATCTGTGGTTGGAAAGCTGTATGGCTACTGCTATTGTCAATGGAAGCCAAACTTCTCTGAAGTCTTGTAGTGTGACAAGTGTCAAATATCAAGGATAGAATTGACTTGATTGTTTCTTAAGGGCCTTTCTGTGGCTTTAGATGCCATCATTTCAGAGATTTGGGAATAGGCGGCATGGCTTTGTAATAGTTCCATTCCTATCTCTCAGATAGGTTTCAAATGATGTTGCTTGGACAGAGATCCTTAAAACAGGAGTATAAGAAACTCTACAGCTTTATTCTGTTCCCAGTAATATTTGATATCATCTTGAAACACTGGAGATATACAGCTGGATTTATCAATGTGGTTTTGACATCCAATTCTATGTCTCTATAAACTTTTCAAGAAATCTGTATGACTCCACTGAATGGCCTGCTGTCTGTAGTGAGACAGATAATGAATAATTTATTGCAAGTAAAGCAGAAAGTGTTCATTTGAAAGGGAATAATTCCAAAGAAGCATAGAAATGTATATTTTAAACAGGATTGTACTCTCTTTGAAGGATGCCTAGGTAGTTTGGAGTATTTCTGGACTTGGATCTATCTCTTGTTTCCAGATTGAAGAAATGGCCAGTAGCATATTTTATCAATTTTAATATTTGTAGCCATTGGAAGACAATGGTTTTAATATTATAATTGTCCCAGGAGCTTCCAGGCTCTACACAGGTCTACCTTTGTGTCTATGAACATTTTATTTGGAGCAAAACAAGGCAGTCAGGTTGGTCTCAGAAGTCATAATCAGTTCATATTTAGCCTGCTGTATACTTAAAATACAGTAGTGGCTTCCCATTTATTTGTGTACAAAATACAGTCAATACCCTCCCTACACAGCTCAGGTCCTGACTATTTGAGAGAAGACCAATTTCTGTAGGAATCTTTATAACTACTGAGACATGAAATTCTCTACTTGTTACTCATTCGTGGGCTCCTCCCCCTTTTATCTGATCACTCCTTAGGAAGCATCTTTCCCTACCACTTCTTCCATTCTCACATTCCAATACACCCACTTTCTGTTTTATTTATTATCATGCTTGATCCCCCCAAAACTCAAAGCTTGCATTACTTTTGTGGTGTGTAACAGATGCGTTGTTCTAATGTGAGTGACAGAATGCTTTTCAAATTCACAAATGTAGTCTAGTAGTTAAGGTGCCAGACTAGAAACCAGGAGACTGTGAGTTCTAGTCCCACCTTAGGCATGAAAGCCATCTGGGTGATTTGGGGCCAGTCACTTTCATAGAGCGGTTGTTGTGGAGAAAATAGGAAGAGGAAGAAGGAATAAGTATGCTTGTTACCTTAAGTTATTTATTAAAAATGTAGCTTTTTTACATAGATTTTTAAAATCTACATCAAAGATTTACATAAATGGCAGTCCTTAATATTATGGAATAAAGACATATACCTTTTTTTCTTCATCTGTTTGTTTATAGTCTTCAAATCATTTAAATCAAGAAAGAAATTCTAGTAATCGACCAAGGGATTTGAATGGAACAATAAATCGAAACAAAGTGAAATCAATGGCAACGCAGCTCTTAGCCAAGTTCGAAGAAAATGCGCCCAATGTTTCATTAAGGAGACAGGTGAGTGAATAAGCAAATGAATAAGAAGGCAGAGCAATTGCAGGACAAGGGCCAGACCATCTTGATTAGTTGAGAAATGGTGATAAGACTATACTGGCAGTGTTATCCAAAAACAAATAGAGATGAGGTAGAGATGCTGAATTCTTCCTGCCTCTCTCCTCTGCATGCTACGGAATATGGAACATGCAGTAAAGTGGTTTACATACGGTAAAGTACGTGCAGTAAGTTGGAGGGAACATCTAAGACACAAATCTTGTAGGATGAAGAATTCCCTCATAATGTCACGCAGTTAAATAAATAGCCTATTTAAGCCTCTACCAGAAGTTCTATGTTTGATTGTGCAAAGCTCCTATGATGCTGCTGCTTACATATTCTGGATCTTTCCTTGTGACCTTGGCTTGTTTTTGGATCTTCTGTGTACATCTTCTGCTTCACAGAGTAAATGAATGTACTGTCTTACTTAGTTTCATCAGCTTTGATTTGACCAGTTACTAAACTTTCCTTTGCCTTGTTACTGCTTTGTTACTGCTTCCAGTACCAATAATAAAATTCATATTTGGAAATGGAGTCAGATCTTTCTGAGGGATAAGCAGCTATTTTGAGGTATTGGCACATAGGCCTTCTGAATATATATGCATAGAATTACTATCTTAAGTTTTGAGTACAAGGAGAAAGATCCTAAAACTTTATTCTGCTTCCAAACAGCATTTCAGGGAAAACTCTAAAAAGCATGATTCTGAGTAATGCAATTCAGTATTAGTTTCAGAATCTTCACATATACAGGAAATACACATTTCTAGACAGATAGGCAGATAATATAAATATTGCTGGCATTATAAAAGGAAGCATCTCAGAATACCTCCTGTCTTTGTATTTTTGTATAATGATGAAAATGCAACATAATCATTTGTTCCTAGTCCAAGATAAACAAGGTTCCTTTCAGATGATAGATAGTGTGACATAATTTTATGATGCTTTCCTTCCCTGTTACTGAAAGTTTTTTAAATAATCTGATGCCATGGGATCAGGCTGTCTTAGCATGTAACATAATTTAATAGAACAATATAAAAGCTGTATATTCTTGTACTTCTTAAGTTAGCAATATTTTGGTTAAGATTACAATATGATGAAAATTTTGTTACACATTTTTATTGTTACTTAAATTGATTTTCTTAATCGATTTTCTAGAAACATCATACTCCATGACAATTGCTGTTTAACTATTTGCAAATATTTCTAGTATAGGATTACATGTAGAAAACAAGACAAAATTCTGTGTCAGCTTGGGCTTTTTGGTTAGAATCTTAAATGTCCACCATAAAAACTTGTTTGAAACATCCTACATAAATTCAATGTATACAATTATATAAAATAGTGCAAAGAAGAGCAATAAAGATGATTAAAGGACCAGAAGTTAAAACATATGAAGAACAGTTGTAGGAATTGATGATGTCTCATCTAATGAAAAGAAGGACTGTGGTGACATGATATAAGTCTTCCAATATTTGAGGGGCTGTCACAGAGAAGAGAGGGACAACCTATTCTCCAAGGCACCTAAGGTCAAGGCAAGAAGCAATGGATAGAAACTAATCAAGAAGAGACCCAACATAGACATAAGGAGAAATTTCTTGAAATTAGACAATCAGTGGAACTGCTTGCCTTCAGGGTGCATTACGAGAGACTTTTAAGAAGAGATTGGACAACCACTTGTCTGAAATGGTACAGGGTCTCCTGCTTGAACAAAGGATTGGACTAGAAGACCCCCAAAGTCCCTTCCAACTCTGTTATTCTGTGTTCTATTTTTATTGCTATTGAACTTGAAATGAAAAGTATTCAAAAAAGAGGGGTATTTTTAACCTCTCTATACCTAATGATAGAGCCGTGATGGCAAACCTATGGCACGTGTGCCACAGGTGACATGCAGAGCCATTTATGCAGGCACACGAGCCCTAGCCAAACTTACCTGCACTGCGCATGTGCGCGCCCCTCCCAGCTGATTTTCAGCCTGTTTGAGGCCGTTTTCAGCCTCCCTGAAGCTCGAGGGAAACCTCTGCAGCCTCAGGAGGCTGAAAAACAGGCCTTCCGGAAATGCCGAAACAGGCCCATTTTTCGGCCTCCAAAAGCTGCAGAGACTTCCCTCGAGCCTCCGGGAGGGAGAAAATGGCCTCTAACAGGCCAAAAATCAGCTGGGAGATGTGTGCATGCACAGTGCAGGTAAGGGGGCACGCTCATGTGCAGAGGATGGGGTGCATTGCATTTTGGGTGCCGGCACATGCACGCTTTTGGTACACCACAACAAAAAGATTTGCAATCACTGATAGAGTATGTTCTCCACTGAACCAAATGTGAAATGTTTGGATATGTAATGTCACACTTCCCTATTCCAGTTGAAGATTGTGAATAAATTGTTTACATTTCTGACCTCTCCACTTCCAATGCTACTGGAAAAATTAGCTCAAGGCATTGATTGACATTAAGCCAGTCACTCACTCTTAGCCTTAGGAAGAAGCAAGCAACCTACTTCTAAAATCTTACCAAGAAAACTGCAGAAGCTTGTCCAGACAATTTCTAGGAGTCAACACTGACTCAAAGGCACCCAAAATAAATAAATATAAATTTCAAAGTTGCAATTAAGTTAGGTACTGGCAGAAAATGATGACCAAATCAAGGCAACAGAGATTCATTATTGTTTATTTAAGACTTCCTTTTTCTTCAAACTACATGGATTCAAACTACATGGATTAATGTTTCCACAGCAGTTGAAAAGGTCACATATATTCTCAGTAATTAATATGCTTGCCTAGTTATTTTACCATATACAACAATCTAGGATAATTTGAAAATTGAGCTAGTGAAAAGCTATCAGTGAAATGCTCAGTTGTGATTGTAGTTTGCTACACAAAAGGATTAATGAATATTGTGGTTTTTAAAATTCTAAAAAAATTATTGTTCAAATGAAGAAAATGAAGTGGTTGCTCCAATAATAAATGCTGGTTGCGTGTGATAGAAAGAAGTTATCAGATTTAAAACAGAGTTAGCTTGATTGTAGAATTAGTGATGGTATTCCTAATGACCATCAATGTGGAAAATCTAAAGAGTGCTTATTGTATGTAGTTTATAAATATTATCCTCTCTCTTTAGAGGTTTTTAAGTTTCCAGAGTTTAGATATTTGAATAGCACCTAACTCAGGGGACTCCTGCAACAGGCCAGATTTTCAGTTTGCTTAGGTTTCTGTTTAGCTTTCAGTATGAAGATTATACAAACTGTGAGCTCTACAGAAAGCCTATGAGTTCAATTTATGATTTGCTCAGCTAACGTTGATACTTCAACCTTATCTTCTTTATAAGTCTTGTAGATTAGTACCATGCAAGCATATTTATGATGTTCTACTGTTTAAAGCAAAACATTTAATATTCCACGTGAGTGCTTTGAAAACAATTTGCTTCCAATTTATTTAGTTATGTAGGTTTTTATTCCATTGGCTTTAATATTTGTGTGAATAGAGGCTTGAGGGAATGATTTTAATTGGGACCCAAGTAGAGAAGAAAAGTTGAGCTTCTCCTTCCTACTGTCCTAACTAACACTGCATACATTTTAATGCTAACTACCAATCCAGTTTGTACCCATCTGATTTTAGTGGATATTATTAAATTTGCAATAAACAGAAATTATTATATAATTATAATAATTTCACAATTTTTAAAATGCTGCTGCTAGTGGTTCTTCTTCAAATTTCTTTTTTCTTCTTCATGCTAGCTTTCTGTTATAATTCTAAAATGTTCTTGGGCTGTTTTCCACTTTTTTAATTTAAGGAGCCGGTAAATAGACCAGGCTTGCTTCTTTCTTCTGAATCTCCTATAAATCCTCGCTTTGCTAAACCCAAGGAGACAACCAATAATCTGCCATCTCCACCAAAGAAACAGGTAGGCATTCTTCAGGGCGGGAAAAACCTTTGACTGTTGGAGACCATGATTGGATGATGCTAGCAATAAGCCCATTAATACATTCCAAAACACTAGAAAGTCATTTTAACACAATGTGAAATATACCGAAGAAGTGATATAGTAGGTAGCAATACTTAGCTCCTAACAAAAGTTTACGCTATTATCCCCTATCCTGGGTGAATGTCAGAAAAAGCAAAAAAAATTTCAAGGACCGTTTTAATATAGAATTGGACAATGGAAATTTAATTTATAATAATCAGGTGTGTGCTGTTTATGACTATTGGGTAACAAGATTTTTTGTTCCAAATAAATTATTTGCCTTTTGTTCATGTGATTAGGTGCCCATTTGCATGGGTATATTCTGATTATTTTAGCCAATTTCAATGCAGATATCCTTTGTTGGAAAAGAGGCCACAGGTGTCCTTTGCAGTATTTCCCAGTCTCAGTTCATAGCTAAGATGGACTGCACTATCAGAAAACCCTTGCAGCCTTTGTCTGATGAGCAACCACTAGCCAAGCCTTTGAGATGCATAAAACCAAGCGAGCCGAAGTCTAGAGTCTCTGAAACTCTTGCCTCTTCCTGTCCTGCTGCCCTTGCACTCTCTGGTGTGCTTCAGCGCCTTCAAGATGTGGAGGAAAAAATTAATCAGGTGACTTCTTTCCTCTCTTTCCTCTTCTTTTTTTTCCTTTCTGGTTTCTTCCTGTGCTACTAAAACACATTCAATCATATAGGACAGTTCTGAACCATGGAATTCTAGCTGGTTTAACCATAAAACATACTTTTTGTTCCTTTCACAGATCCCTCATCCTTTTACAATTTATTTTCTACATTGCACACACCTTAAATTGATTAATGAAACTTGAGAGAAACTTGAGTTAGAAAGTTTTCGAAATCTCCATTATTTCTTAAGTCCTGCACGGATATTTGATCATTTCATTTATCAAGCAAAGATTTGGCTCCCTTTTTTTAATCAACAGTCTTCAAGACATCTCAAAGCCAGGCTATAGGAACTCTGGATGCAGTCATGATATCTAAGAGATTGCTGCACATACACAATTCATAGAATGTGATCCCTGGAAAAAATCTTTTTTTAAAGCACATTACAGTTTTTAAAAGGAAGAGTGGCATAGCTCATCAACTGGTGAAAAGCATAAGAAAAAGTGTACATTGGGGTGACCTCAGACACAAAGTTTCTCATAAAGAATCCCACATATTTTTTTCTCTTTAATTATTCCAGGTAACTTCATGTATACATAACAGTGCTTAGTGTTTCTGCTTCTTTCTCTTTGTTACTTAATCTTCTTTTCTCCAAACTGCTATCTTTTGGACTATTATTTCTATTTTCTTCCTTAACTCAAACTGTTGTTCTCTCCTTGCTGTTCTTGCCACAGAAAAAAGCTCAGTCCATAGCCAATAGAGAATTTCATAAAAAGAGCATTAAAGAGAAAGCAGCTCATCTGGCCTCCTTGTTTGGTTGTGTTGACATCCCCAAGGTGAATAAATAAGCAGAGAATGCAAAGTTGGTGAGGAACTGTGTTAGTAGTTAAGAGCGCTAGCTCATGGCTAATAACTCTTTTGCTTCATTTCATTAAATGTGATTTTTTTAAAAATGTGGAAATTTGCTCATAGTCTGTCACAAAGTGATAAGGGCCAATTTCAACATGTCATTTTATTCTGATATGTTTGTCTTAGTTTATGGCTATAATAATTTTTCTTCTGGGTATAACAGAACATTCTTCAATAATTTAATGCATGTTGGCAAGTTCCATAATTTTAACATGCATTTGCAGGTAAATAATTTGGGACCATTTTTCCTCTTTCTGCTTTACACAGAATTCACTTCCCACTAAAGGTCTCTCTCATTCTCCGCTCCCATCTCCCGCTTGTCTGCCATCTCATGATTCAGCTGCTTCCTCTTCATCTATAAACTCTGCTTCCTCTGCTATTCTTTCTGAAAAGGTATTCTTTAACAGGTTTCCTCTCAGCTTCATATTGTCACTTTAAAAAAATGCCTGTGTAATTTTGGCTTTCACTAATATTGCAAGGGAACTGTTTGTGCGCGCTATGTTTCATTGGAAAAAAGGCTAAAGTAGTGGGTATTAAAGAATTTTAAAACAGCACCAGAGCTTGAATTTGGCTTCTCCTGTTTAATAAACTATTTTAAAACTTGGACTGAAAAAAATGGAAATCATGTGACTTTCCCTTCTATAAACAGTGGGAGAAGCATGATTGTATATTTGCTGTTCAGAAAAAAAAATGTGCTTATTATCAGGTGAGCTTCAAGGGCCACATGGGTTCCCAATTCTCTATTTACAATCCTCAGAATGTTCTCTGATAACAGTTGTCAGAAAGGAGCATGATGATTATGATTTTGAAGTAGCATGAACACAAAAATGCTGTGGAAATGTAATGTTTTACATAACAAAAATCCCCAAGGGAATAATAATAATAATAATAATGTCCCAGCCTTAATCTTTTGCTGTCCTGTTTTTCCTAACTTCATCTAGAAAGATGGATTCACACATTATAGAACACCATAACACGTTCGTTTGCTTGGCACTTAACATTCAGGAACATAGTGCTTTGAAAACACGGTTTAATGCATGTGAGTATATGCACCCCACAGTTCACTTTCAGGAATGCAAAACAAAGAAAAGGAAATAGTAACCCAAGAAAGGGAAATACAGATATATTTAGTTTACCTTGAAACCATTTTCAGTCTTTGCAAATCAACCTAGTTTCCATAATGCCCAAATCCTGTTTCATATACTAATCTTCTCACAGTACTTGTTTTGATTCTTTCGTATTTCCTCTTACTTTCAATCTATTCACTTTTCCTTATGGATCTTCATTAATTCTTTCTTTATAACTAATTTTCTCTAACATTTCTATTGTATTGCTCACTCAAATCTGCATTCAGACCACTTTCATTTATTTTTGATCCTATTTCTTCCTGGACCATATAGTTCTTAAGTATCCCATTCCCACTGTGTTCATAAAAGTTTCATATTTCTCCTGACTTACTCAACCCTCACTTCATGTAACAAAGCAGGCAGAAGCACTCATATAGTGGCCATTCACTGATGGTGGTGGTGATGGTGATAGTGATTGCCCAAGATTTTAAATATTTGATAGCAACCTGTCTAAAAAATAAAAAACTGAACAATATTAATTTGAATAATATATAATATTAATTTGAAATATATGATATTCAAATTAATAAACAAGTTATATAAAATTTTACACACAAAAATAATTGTATTTTTGCAAGACAATCCCATTTCTGGCAAGCTTGCATTTGCATCCTTTTTAATAAAGATTGTGTCTATCATTTTAAGAAGCAAAAGTAGGTTGGTTTACCAGGTGCCATCATAATTGGTGTCTGGTAAATTAAAGCATTGATATGAATTGTGTCAATAGATATAATTTGCTTCAAAGGATCAAAAACAGGTGTTGTTAACTTAACCTTTATTTATAATTCATGCATTTTTGAAAACATGCATATTCATCAGGAATGCCTCCTTTTACAAAATACTTCTTGCATTTTTAATTTGGTGTAATAATTGTAAATGTTTGCATTATGTCATCAAGGTAAATTATTAGAAGTCGTTATTCCCTTTTTGAGAAGTCAAAAGGAATATGTGTTGATGACTGTAATATTATTACTAACATTATTTTAATATTTTATCTTCATTATTTCATTTGCCATTTAACAAGTTGCCCAGAATTAAATGCAGGTCTCACTTAATTCTTTAGCCTCTTGAATGTGTAGTAGAGCGTGTTTGAATGTATGCATACACACAAACTCATCTGTTCAAGATATTCACACAATCTCAGATTTTAAAGATGTAGCAGATTGTCAACATATGGTATTATACAGATTTTAGACTTTATGTAGTAAGGTATAAATGTTTAGATTTTATGTGGGATTGGCATTCTGTAATTAAGCTCTGTTCTTTTTTTACTTTAAACTTGTACACCTTTGCTTCACTGTTTTTCTTTGCTTTGCTTTTCCTTAAATTGTAATTTCTAAGGCAAGATTTCTTCATTTTCCATCTTTTCTCTTTCCTCTCTCCTTCTTTGGGCCTTGTTAAATATTAGATGACAGTAGGGAAGGTGTCTCATGGAATAGATGCTGTAGCACAAATCCTTGTCAATCTATACAGGAATGATCACAAGCATAATCCATTACCTGCATCTTTGCAATTGGTAAGCCTTAATCAACACATAATTGAGTGCAACTCATTATAATGAAGATTATAATATTTTATCCATTAAATGTATCAATTTTTCAGCAGTGAAAAAACAATAGAACCTTTTTACAGATAACAGCACTGGCTTTTCCAAAGCACATAAAAATGCTGAATTATCCATAGATTCCCTGGTTATATTGAATCACTTTATATGTATTGTACTTTGAATAAGTTATAGCCTAAGTAGCCCAAAATAATTAAGAATTTGCTGATAACATTTAATATGTTTCCTTTATATATACATGCATTCATATATTCAGATTTTTAAAATCTCTTGTTTGCAATTCCAGAAAATATTTCCCTTTTTTCAGTTAGCTAAAATATCTGTATCCCACTTTTCTACCAAAAATGGCTTATTTTCAGGTTATACAAATCATCTGCCTTTTAACAAGAGGCTTTCAAAGCAAATATTCATAAAAATAAATTTGAATGGATAAAGCCAACATTTGTGCCTATATTTTCAGTTTATACAGATATACAGAATATAATATACATTATAATATTAAAATGAGCTACATTGCATTGAATAAAATATGAAAAACATTGTTGCTCCCTAACTCTAGTCTAGCACATTAAGACAATTGGAAGTAGTGCTTTTTTGTACTATATAAATGGGCATAATTCAATTTCTATAAACAAATTGGAAATCTGAAGATTAGTTAGTGAGCTATTTTATATACAATATGTTGAACATGCAGCATATTCTATATTTGAACATAGCCTTAAAAAAACTAAAGTACTTTACGAGCCTGTGCCAAATACCAGTCTATAGAACCAAAAGTCATTGCAGATGACACTCAGCAGCCAAATGTAAAGAGCTTCAAATATTCAAATCATCTAAAGTGATTGGTCTTTGAACAAAGAAATTGACTGCATTCAGGCTCTGGCCAAATGCATAACAGAGTAATCTAGCAGCACAATGTCTATATCTCCACAAAGCTGAAAGTCTGCAGAAGCTATCATTATTTTTTCTCTCATACGGATGTGAATCTGGGACTTGGTACTGACAACATAACAATCAATTGGAGAAATTTCATATTCATGCCCTCCACTCCAGCCTTGGCATTTGTCGGCAAGACCATTTCTCAAACTTGAAGATTTGGATCATGTGGATCCATGAGTATTGAGTCCCTAATTATCAGAGTCATAGGTGGGACAAATCATCAAAATGAAAGGACTACTGTATGCCTTGTCAATTGTTCTATAGTGAACTGGAGACTAAAAAGAGACCTCAAAATTATCTCTTCAAGCACTACAAAGATGCTGTGAAGACAACCTTATGTTGCTGTGCCATCCAAGAGAATTAGAACACACAACTGATGACAGAACCAGCACCAAAAATGACTTTTGAAAAATCTTTTACCGGAACTACCTTAATAAAGCCATCTAACATCATGAACAAGCATCATAAACATTAAATCAGGAAGTACCAGTGGTTGAAAATACATAAAATATGGCACTAGCAATTAAAATCTGCCAGCAAATTACTGTGGAGAGAAAGTGAGAACACAAATGTGTTAAGGTTTTTCATGGCAGCATATCAAAGAGGCTGATTAAGATGCTGGTAGGAGTTAATTCCAGTGTTTCTGGCTCTTCTATTGCCAAGTTCTAAACCCTAGCTGTAGATAGCTTCACATGGGCACTCACACTACATATGGAAAGTCTGCTCCACCGTTTAGCCATAAGACCTACTGAATAACTTCTACTATATAGTAGCAAACCACTAAATGCATGGTTTGCTATGACACTATGCGTAGACCTTGAATTACAACTACAATTGAAAATTTCTGTTGTTAAGTGAACTTTGCCCCATTTCTTGACACCATTAGTAAGTGAATCACTGCAGTTGTTAAATTAGTAACATAGTTGTTAAGTGCATCTGGCCCCCATTGACTTTGCTTGTCAAGGTTGGAAAAAGTGATCACATAACCCCCAGCATACTGCAACCATTGTAAATGTAACCAGTTGTTCAAATTTTGATTATGTGGGGATGCTACAATAGTCATAAGTAATTTCAAATGGTCACTGAACAAATGGTTGTAAATTGAGGACTATCTGTATATTATTTAAATGTACAGTATATTGCCAGGATGCAGAACATATCTAATCGGCAAGAAAATGCAAAATGAGTAAAACAGCTCTGATTAAAAAATATGTAAGTAACAGTACAAATCATTGTCAAGCAAATCAGGAGAGCCTGTTCTTGATCAAACTCCTAGTTTTCCTTCTGAAATATTTTTTTTTGTGAGATTAAATAATTATACAAACATTATTCAGATATTACCAATATATTTTAATTTTTTCAATAGGGATCTTTGAAAAGAGAATTTCCTCAGACAATAGGTGGAAGTGAAATCTGCTATTTCTGTAAGAAAAGAGTTTATGTCATGGAACGATTGAGTGCGGAAGGCCATTTCTTCCACCGAGAATGCTTTAAATGTGTCATATGTGCAACTACTCTCCGCTTAGCAACATATACCTTTGATGCAGAAGAAGGTAATGCAGATCTACAATAAAATATTTTAATTTATCGATAAAGGAGAATATTTGTAGCTCAGGGTTGAAATGAGAAGTCCTTGGTGGTCTCTGAACATGGTTGTTTTCTTGCAGATGTTTCATTACATAAACTAGGTAACATCAGTGCTTATTGCACTGATAGTAGGACTAAAAGGACTATATAGTCGTATAGTAGGACTAGCACTGATGATGCTACGTAGTTTAAGTAATGAAATATCTGCAAGAAAACAATCAAGCTCAGAGAGCATCAAGGACCCTTCAGAAATATTTATGTATTAATGCCAAGGCGATGTACCTAAGCATATTTTGATTGTATGTTCCTGGATAAGATTAAACTAAATGATAAAGGGTGGGTTATATGAAACCAAGCAAGGATAGCAACTTCATTATCTACAGCAAAAATACCACATGTGGTATTTTAGCCATTTTGCCAAGGCTTTGGTATCCCAAAGGTAACGCCACTCAGTTGCTAGAATAAGGTAATAAACTTTTCTCATATAAAGGACTTTTTCATGAAAGCACTGCTTTCCAAATGGTTTTAAACGAAGTCACTTAAAATAACTTACATTTGAAGGTATATTACATTTACATTCCCCATTCCATTTGTCAGGTTTACTATCTGGCAGATTGCATTGGGGAAGGGACAAAACCTAATGGCATTCCTTTTATTTTTCAGGTAATTTTTACTGCAAGCTTCATTTTGCACAATGTAAAACAAAGAATATACACAGAAAGAAGAGAGCGGAAATAAAGGTATATATATATTTCCACTAAAGTATGACAGAGAGTAGGAAGCTCATTGGAAGTGATGCATAAAAGGGAAACTATCCATGTTATTCTGGCTGATCTTTGCACTTGAATTACATTGGGGTGATCACTGGATATCCAAAATGTTGTCTCTCTTAGCAGAAGTGAACTGATACATTCAGAGACGTTTTCGCTCAGTCTGTGAGCCACCCTAGCTTTAAAACATTTATATCAAGATATGTCTTTGTGCCACCTGCAGAAAAGGAGGAGCTGAAATATGTAAGAATTGCAAATGATTGTTTTTTGGACTTCAAAGTACCAGTGAAATTTCTGATGGTTCCATTTTTTTAACACACCAAACTACATTATTTTCTTAGCCTAGTCATATCAAATGCATTCTAATGTATTTTCAATTTTGACTGAAAAATATGATGCATATGATGATAAACAAGAAAGAAAATAACCTCAATGACATGTTTTCTTTCCCTGGGCTGCCATTTTTTTGTTTATCAAGATGAGAAAATATTAAATATCCTTTGCATTCTCATTCTAACTTTCTTGCAGCCTCTCTAAGGCTTTTTATTAGTTTTTGAAAGGAGACACTAGGGGGAGGAGATAAGACGTGACCTTTATGTCTACCTTGATTCTGAAAATTGATATCTGTTTATAACTTGAACTCAATGGAAAATATTCCCTTACTTATTTTGGAGTTAGTAGGCCATCAGGGTAGTCCTTTTCTAAGTTGAAGCATTGACACACAGTAAATTGTATTTTGGAGATTGCAAAACATTTCTTTGCAAGGAGTTTTGGGTAATCTAGAAAGTCTTTGAATCGTGGCAAGGCACAAATGTAGACAATAAATAAATGTTTTTTTAAACAAATATTTGAAATATTGAAGATGAACATCCTGTTAATCTATTTCTCTTTAAAGGAGGAAGCAGGACTTCAGAGGCATCAAGAACCCATGTGTGAAGAAACTAGCTCAGAAAGTGCTTTTGCTACTAGTAGCAGCTCAGAAGACCGGTCACCAGGTATCCTGCCTTCATTCTTTGGGAAAGCTCTATGCTGGCCTCTTAAGGTGACCAGGGATCTGCTTGATCTTCCGAGACGCCTCTCTAACTGGATGCATGGTGTCCTGCACGCAACCAGACTTCATTTCTGGGACAATGCATACAACTATGTCTACTTGTATGAACTCCTAAGCATTAGCATGCCATTCCTTTTTGTGCTTCATGAGTTACTTGGCAATTTTTACGGGGAAGTGGAGTTGTCATATGACAATATGCTTGAATCGGTGAAGAATTTTTTCAAGCTTTAAAGTTCTTCTGAATCTTGGTTGTGCCTTTCAGATTTCCAAAACAAACAGCTTTGGGGTTTTGCACAAATATAAATATTTCAATTCAGTAAGTGCTTTAAATGAGCCCAGAGCTCCATGGTGCAATTGTAAAATCATTTTTTAAATTATTATTATTATTGGATCATGAATGTTAAGTGTCCGAATTCATTTCCCATCCATGGAGACGCTATGAAGGATAGTTTTATAGATTTTTTTTAATTACATGAATCCATTTCTAGTTATAAAAAAAAAAACAGATATTCCTCTATGTTTACATTTTGATATTCTTATTTTAATGACTGTGAAAGGAAGAACTTTCATACATAGGGAGATAGCAAATTTTTATTATGTGGAGGTTTCTTTTGAAAACTGAATGTGGCACATACCTTTTTCTACCTTTTGCTTTGTCTATGGGGCTACTGTCTTAATCCATTTTTTTAAAAGTTCAAATGTATACTTAGCCCATAATAGTTACATTGACGTCTCTTTGATAAACCCTTTGTGAACACTGGGCATTTTCTGTAATATTTATGAATGAATTCAAAGAGTAATATTAAGACATTAATTAAACTAAACCAAAGTACAGCAATAGCATATATTTTTTCCTCAAATCAAGGGGCAATTTTGTTCATTTATATTAGAGATAACCTAGAGCTGATATGGAAGGTAAGATGTATCTGTGTTAGAATAGTTTTTCTCAGTCAATCATTTGAAAGTTCTAACGATCAGAATAGTATAAAAATGGAATAATTTGAGAAAGAGGGATAATTATTCAGTTTCTGTTACTGACTTCATAGCCCTTTTTGACACCATAGAGTGTCATAGAAATTAGGATACGGCTGAGAATTATAATATATTCACTTGATATAAAAGCCACGTTTGACAAAGAGAAAAAGTATAGGCACCATAGGGCCTTAAATTTATTTTGGCCATTATAGATGATTTACACAGGAGATATCTATGGATAAATTTAAGATAAAAAATAATTAATAGGATCCTTTTATTTGAATGTCTTATTGCCCTAAGTTATCTTTGAAGGATACATGCTTCTTCAAAGTCTCGGGAAATAGCTGTAAAAATAAAGTCCAATTATGAGGCTTGTTCATTCTATAAAAGGGTCAAATAATTGGCTCCTGAAACTAAAACCAATTTAACTTTTTGCTGATAGAAAAATAGTTCTCCTAGATTATATGTCTGGTTCTCTATACCCATCCTGCGGCTATTCAATTGCATAAATATTATTTGTATAATGTAATATTAACTTACCATGAAACAGGATAAAAACAACTTCATAAAACCCATCAAGAAAGATTTAATTTAGAGCTAGCCTGTTAAAGGATTAACTGGTATACATGCTGTTCTATTTTCACCTTAAATCTCATGGATTCCTACTTGGAAAATTGTCCTATTTATTTCATTGGAATGGAGAGATGTAGTGTTAAGCACAGTACACAACAATAATCTTTAATTAAATGAACAATGGTGATGAAAAGAGGCTTTTATTTTTAATATTTTTAAAAGAGGGTTAATTTTTGCTCTGTTAATTATTTGCTTACATGTTAGAATTTTAGGTGGTCCTACTCACATGCTGTGATATTGTGAACTCCCTGAAACAGCAAAGGGATTTGTGTGACACCCCTCCATGAATAAAACCAATGAGTTCCTTCTTCTCTATAATAGTAATTGCGCCATCAGGTGCACAGAAAGCCAGAATCCATTGAGAACTCAGTCCTGCTGCTAGCTTGTCTAGGCCCAATGATGCTTTTAGGTCCTCCATTCCTAAGAAGCACGCCCAAATGTGTATTACCTGACAGATGAGATGTCTGCACCATGGGGCAAGGGACTAGATCCAGGGAAGAACAGGGTGGAAAGGGAAGTTGAATTATCAGAAGCCAGTGTGGACCATGGAAACTCAGGTTACTGCTGTACCAATAAACAAGACTTCTTTTAACAATGGAAAGGCTTGTTGGATCTTCAGCCTCTATCCCTTGGACTTTCTGGTCACCTCTCTTCTGCAGTGATGAGCAGCAGAGGTAGGGAAGCTGTAAATAATATTTCCTACTCTCACATGACTAGTCTTTTGAGACTACTCTACCTACCCCCTATTGCCATATAATGGCACTGCCTATGATGTGGCCACTGACTTGGCCAGGCAGAGTAAGGTGGTATTTGACAACCATTCAAGTTGGTCTGGGATTACAAATTTGAATCTCACTCTGTCTCGACAAACCAGCAGCTGCATCACTAAAGTTCCTTTTCCCCTGATTGCCATGTTCTTCTTGGTATTCTTTTAGAAGAAAGCAGCCTACCATATAGACTTGTAAAGGCCACTTACTGTGGCACCCTGTGTTTCCAAAGCACTCTCCTGCAAGACCAGTTTCTTGGTACCTTCCTGCTCTGATCTCTTCATCTTGCCCACTATGGCTTTGAGCCTGACTTTGGGTAACTCTGCCTGTTTCTTCCCAGTTAGTAAAATCATGGCTCCCCACTCCTCATCCCCAGCCTGGCTATCTAAGCATGATCTTCCTGCCTTGACTTTCTGCTTCGCCTTCCTTTGCTCCCCAGCCATGTTTTCCCAGCTGTCTATATATTATTTCCTCCTCCTGCCCTTGCAATTTGAATCTCTCCCATTTATCAACACATGATGGCAAGCTCTAAATGTGTGAACCCATCCTTTCCTTCCGCACCCCCCAAAAAACCCTCCTGCATTTTTTATTTGATGCCTTTTTTTCAATTAACAAACTAAATGTCTCTGTAGTTATTTCAAGGTCTCCCTAGCATATAGTTTCTGCTTATGCAACAGTTTTTGGTGTTCTCACCCGCCCCCCAATGCCTTTTTCAGAGTTTCTAATTCTCATTTAAGAAGGTGTAAGAGAAGGGAAATTTGATCTAGTAGCATCTTGTGTTGGCTGATGGATACAACTCTGCAGTCTATATCACAAGTTGAACCTGAATAAAGGTTGGCTCTCTGCTTGTAACCAGCTTACTATATATATATAAAACTGCTGCCATTCTTGCAATTCAGCTATTGCATATCTCAGACTCAGGGAATTAAGCGTCAGAATAGCCAGTGTACACCCAAAATCTATGAATGATTTTACAGCAACTTCAAGGGTGAAGAGAACAACACAAATATGTTTTGCACTGCTTACTTCACTGTATCTTACATTAAAAAAAAGTTTCAGTATTGTTAAATTATGTTCATATTTTATTTGTCTATAATTTGACTTGTTAGTTGTACAATCATTAGTTAATTATTACAATTTCAGCTGATTTGTATATCAAACCTTTATCACAAATGAAACTCTTCAAGCGCTTCTGGTATTATCTAATAGTTTGAATGCAATGCACAGAAAAGGAGGGTCCATTTACACTGTTTGAAGCCACTGATAATCATTACACAGTACAATTTTGTTTATTCAGTTGTTTATCTCACTCTAAGGGAGACTATTTCCAAACCCAAGGTATGTTGGATCACTGTAAAAAGGCCAGAATTTTCTTTTGCGTTATGTCCAGTCACATGTACACATATAACCATATTCTATTTGGCTAAGGTATTTTGTTACTTCCTTGTCATTTCCACATTCAGTGAAGGTTTCTTTGGAAAGCTGTAGAGGTGGCTTTGGGGTTACAAAAGATGTGACCAATATATTGTACATGTAAATCCAAATTCAATCTCAGATAAATGCAGAATCATTTATTTTGACTTAATCATATTTGAAGTTGATTGTTTGAAGTCTGTTGCTATTTCAAAGAGTCTTTGATAACTACTATTATTTGATACTTGAAATGTAATAAATGTGGTTATTTAATATTTTTGGCTGATCAGAAAGACGAATTACTGTTCATTTGTTATACCTTACAGTATCAGTGCAATGCATCTAGTGCTGTGTAATCAAAGATTTACAGTTAGCTTGTTCTGACTACTTTCTTTTTCCAATATTTTATATTGTCTTTAGTTCATTTCAACATTCCAGTGCTACAGCCCCTAACTGGCTGAACCATTTCTGGTGTAAGATTTTCTATGCTTCCTTTTTTTCGTGTTGCGATGAATGCCTAATACTCCCTACTAGTGTTTAAAAATACCAGAGAAGAATGTGTGTTTTGTGTGTGTGTATGTGTGTACTAAATCCAAAATAAGAATCTGCATGGTCACTTACCCTACTTTGTAGCTGGCAATCCAAAACTTCTGACTTGCTTCTTTCCAAGTGTTCCCACTCTGCATTGTAGTCCTTATCTTTGCATGAATTCCAAATTTATTTTTTAAAAAGAAATTATTTATATTTAATCATGAGGCATTTCTATGTTTTTATTAATTCCTTCTTTGCAGCAATTAAAGTTGTGCTCAGGCATCTGCATCTCCTTAAATTGTAGGTCTTGGTCTACTAAATGTTAGGAAAAACTGATTAGGAGAATGGCCTTTTAGTTTTACAAATCATTTTAGCAACAACTATATAGAAAGTAATCTTAAAACACGAATCCCTGATTGTTTCAATACAAAGATTTAAGTAAAGTCTGGAAACCGAAACAGATTTCATTCCTTAAGGAATTTTAATGCATCTATATGAAATTCAAATTCATGTTGCTGTGACATCAGCATAATACACATTTTTACAAGTTTCTGCTTATAAATGTAAAGGCCTTTAGGACAAAACAGACAGAACAGCCTCCCCCTCCCATGTATTCCCCTCCCAA